TGAAAATAGTTAATGAAGTTAAATTCTTGGGAATAACATTCACGCCTAATTTATCATTTGACAAACAATATAAAAGCTCAATAACAAAGGCAAAAAATTTAATAAATAATCTGATAGTGTTATTCTGCAAAGCTAAAATTAAGAATTTGAGAACTCATTTTCAACTTTTTAATTCAATTATCATTAACTTGATGTGCTACGCTTCTCCAATCTGGTCTACAGGTAAATTCAATGAATTTGAAAAAATACAAAATACTTTTATTCGTAGAATTTTCCAATTAGAATACAATATCCCAGGCAGTGCTCTAAGAATGGAACTAAGTAGATATAAAGTAAACACCATATTAATAAAAAGGTATATAAAATTTCTTCAAAAAATTATAAATGCTGAAGATTTAACAACAAAATTACTGAATGTATTATATCAAAAATCAAAGATCACAGATTTAAAACAAAATTGGACGGTACAACTATCGAATATTTAACACATACGGATTTTCGTTGGAACTATTTATGGATCAATCATACATCAGTGAACAGCAAAATAATTTATTAATACAAAGAGTAATGGAAAACTCTATCGTCCAAGATATCGATGACATACAGAAACGTAATAATACAAGTTGGTACAAAATAATTTTAAATTACCCATCAAATAATAGTTATATGCTTACAAATCTTGCATTTAATGTTAAAAAATTTTTTATTCAGTTAAGACTGAACAAAAACTGGATAATTATACATGATAAATTCCTAGAATACTCTCAGACCAAATGCCCAAGTTGCAGTAACACATTATCAAAATTTCATATTCTTTGTGAAAATTGCAACGAAAATGAGAACATGCAAAAAGCTGATATTGGTCGATTAGTTAACTGCTCTAATGAAACGGATATGTATAAGTTCCTTGACAAAGCAAACATCAATACCATCTTTAAGTTATATAACTGGTCTAAGCAACTTGTGAATAAAAACGTAGAGTAATTTAGTAAATGTATGTACTACATATTAGATAAACAATGTTAATTATCTATATGATTAAGATTCTAATGGTGGCGGATGAATATGCTGTATATATAAATCACACCATTATAACAGGCGAAAGCCTTATACGATAAATAAACTTTGATTTGATTTGAAATCTTACCCGTTTTTACAGATTGTACTGTACAACAATCACTAAAGCCACTTCGTCTGCAGTTGGTGCATTGAATCGTCCTCTATGTTCATCAGCAGGTCGTTTATCAGGATTAATTATAATTTGAAATTTTTCTCCTGTTGAATATCGTTCAATAGCTGCCTTAAACTCTTTGACATATGAATTATGTTCATGAAGAGCCTTTTGTATTTGAGAAACTAATCTTTTATCCACTCTTGTGGAATTATTACACCTAATATTCACCTCTTCTTCATCGTTGCCTACAAAATATATTTGAAGAAATGCAAGTTGTTGATGTTCTGATGGCAAAAGACTGCCAATCCTATAATATATTTGTCCTTGGACCTTAAAAGTTGACATATAATTCCCTTCTCTCACTTCCTTACTGCTTAACGAAGTCATTTGGAAACATCCATTATACTTTCTTGCATTTTTTAGAAAATTCTTTGATTCCTTTTGCAATTCTTTGCCACTTGATTCATTTATTTTGTAAGAAAGATTACTTAAAGGCTCAGGTGCTTCTTTCAATCCGGGCAACATAACCTACCCATTAGCGCAACACATACCAGGGGTCTCATCGTTAAATTTTTTGACACTGCAAAATTTGTATATTTTATTCATCTCTCCTATAGTCACATTCTTATCACCAGCATAATCAATATCAGCTTGGTATTGAAAAGCAGAACGTTCCTTGTTTTCCCACTGTAAGGTCTTTACCGCACATTTATTGTTTGCGTGTTTTTTTATAGCTTCTTTATGAGCTTCATGATTCCTATCAAAATGCCTTTTTACAGTTTCTTTATTAGCATCGAGATTCTTTTCTTTAAATTTTTGTGACGCTTCTCTTATTTTCTTTTTTCGTCCAACGCCTGTAAACCTTGCACTTCGCTTTCTGATGTTCTCCGTTGTTAACACCTCCATTGTTGAAGCCTTATTCCTGTCCCTCCCCCCGGGGGAATTTCGAAAAATTCCTTCTTAGTGTACGTTCTCGTGACGTACCCTAACTTTGTACCAAATTTCAACTTTCAACTCCTAACCGTTTGGGCTCTGTGCTGATTATTATTATCAACCCGTCTCGATTATATATATAGATTTATTCACATTAAATATAATTGTAAAAAGTAAATTTCAATTTTTTAACTTATAAAATTTATTATTGTACAAATGTTTTATTTATAATTATGATACTATATATATATATTCCATATATTTGAAAATTGTAACATGAAAATTGTAATTATCAGTGGCGTGCCGTCATTAGAAGCGTTGGAAGCGCCACTTCCCTCGTATTCTCTAAAAAATAAATAAATATTAATTTTAATTATATGAAAATAATCGCACAATATTTTATTATAACCGCATTATGTATCTTATTACAAATTTCTATACTACACGTGGAAAANAAATGCCCAATCCTGAAATAAATAAATAAATAATTTATGAATTGAATTGAATTTTTAAAATATTTTATCATAAAAATTGAATACATTAATTTTATGTTTTAAATTTATATATAGATATAAGTTTAAATTTTTTTTAATATGGATAACAAATTATACTTATGATAATATATATTTTAGTATACTTAACATAAAAGTGAAATATTTTATATTATTTAAAAAATATTCTTTATAATTTAACAGAATTAAGTTAATTTAAATTTAAATTTAAAAAAAAATAGTGTAATTAATTAATTAAGCTTATCAAACTATAATTTAAATAGATCGGATATTTTAAAAATGTGTGTATAACTTTTAATGTACATAATTTATGGCTTCTATCTTGGCGACTTTTTACTACGTTTCCATAATTATTTTAAATTATTTGATATAATTTAAAATAAAAATATAAATATTTATAAATTTTATAATTTTTTTAATATACATTTAAATGCTTTATTTTTATTATGAATTCATTTAAATACTTTTCTTTAAGCTATTCAAACCTATGCTTAAAGCAGTGTTAAAATTTATATATATATTTTCCAAGAACAAAATTTGATCATTAGTAAAATTTTTTGCTATAAAAATTAATAATTATTTAAATCGATTTTTAAACTGAAGAAATTAATAACAACTTTCAATACATTAAAACAAAACTGAAAATATTCTACTTTTTTATCGTCATGTCTTCACAACAATTTATATTTGTTGTTCTTAAACATAACACATTAAACTTAAACAATAAATTCTTAGAAAAATCAAGTTATATTCGTCTTATTCTAGTTCAAAGAAAAGCTAACATAATTGATAAAAGAATCGATTTATTACATTATCAAGAAAGTACTTTTTGGAATCAATAATGTTTACATAACTTGTAGAGGGAAAAACTTTTAAAAAATGCACAATTTTATAAAAAATTTTCCAGTTAAATCAATTAAAAGAGTGAAGTCTATTCTTTAATTTTAATATAATATTCGCTTCTTATTGATTTAAACTTGCGTTATATTCTGCAATTCATTTAGTTTCGCGTAACACGACATCAAACACGAATTGAATATTTTAATTAATTACCAAAACCACTCTATATAATAAAAAGAATTCAATTATTGTACTGAAATATTTATAAATTATTAATATTTTATTTTATTATATATTTTTTAAAGAAATAGTATGCTTGATCACTCTGTTATACTGTATAACTAAATTATTAAATTGATGAGTCCCGAACGATGAATAAAATTAAATATGAATTTTATGTAGAAATTTTAATAGTTTATATTTAACTAGCAGACCCCACCACGCGTTGTTATGGCTCAAAATGTATCTATTATAAATTTATAACATTTCCCCCGTGAGGAGAAAATTTTCGAAAAATTTCTTCTTAGTGTACATTCTCTTGACGTACCCTATTAAAACGCAATCAAAAACGCAAAAAACCCGCATCTAAAATAGTATAAATAGAAGCAGAGTTCTTTACCGAAGCCTTAATCCTAACCATCTCC